TGGTTTTTTGTTGTTGTTGTTGTAAATTTGTTTAAGTTCCTTGTAGATTCTGGATGTCAGCCCTTTGTCAGATGGATAGATTGTAAACATTTTCTCCCATTCTGTAGGTTGCCTGTTCACTCTGATGATAGTCTTTTGCTGTGCAGAAGCGCTTTAGTTTAATTAGATCCCATTTGTCAGTTTTGGCTTTTGTTGTCATTGCTTTTGGTGTTTTAGTCATGAAGTGTTTGCCCAGGCCTATGTCCTTAAGGGTATTGCCTAGGTTAGGGTTTTTATGGTATTAGGTCTTATGTTTAAGTCTTTAATCCATCTTGATTTAATTTTTGTATAAGGTGTCAGGTAGGGGCCCAGTTTCAGTTTTCTGTATATGGCTAGCTAGTTTTCCCAATACCATTTATTAAATAGGGAATCATTTCTTGTTTTTGTCAGGTTTGTCAAAAATCAGATGGTTGCAGATGTGGGGCATTATTTCTGAGGCCTCTGTTCTGTTCCATTAGTCTACATATCTGTTTTGGTACCAGTACCATGCTGTTTTGGTTACTGTAGCCTTGTAGTATAGTTTGAAGTCAGGTAGTGTGATGCCTCTCCAGCTTTGTTCTTTTTGCTTAGGATTGTCTTGGCTATATGGGCTCTTTTTTGGTTCCATATGAAATTTAAAATAGCTTTATCTAATTCTTTGAAGAAAGTCAGTGGTAGCTTGATGGGGATAGCATTGAATCTATAAATTACTTTGGGCAGTATGGCCATTTTCACAATATTGATTCTTCCTATCCATGAGCATGGACTGTTTTTGCATTTGTTTGTATCCTCTCTTATTTACTTGAGCAGTGGTTTGTAGTTCTCCTTGAAGAGGTCCTTCACATCCCTTGTAAGTTGGATTCTTAGGTATTTCATTCTCTTTGTATCAGTTGTGAATGGGAGTTCACTCATGATTTGGCTCTCTGTTATTGGTGTATGGGAGCGCTTGTGATTTTTGCACATTGATTTTGTATCCTGAGATTTTGCTGAAGTTGCTTATCAGCTTAAGGAGTTTTGGGGCTGAGACAATGGGGTTTTATAAATATACAATCATGTCATCTGCAAACAGACAATTTGACTTCCTATCTTCCTATTTGAATATCCTTTCTTTCTTTCTCTTACCTGATTGCCCTGGCCAGAACTTCCAATACTACGTTGAATAGGAGTGGTGAGAGAGGGAATCCTTATCTTGTGCCGGTTTTCAAAGGGAATGCTTCCAGCTTTTACCCATTCTGTATGATATTGGCTATGGGTCTGTCATAAATAGCTCTTATTATTTTGAGATATGTTCCATCAATACCTAGTATATTGAGAGTGTTTAGCATGAAGTGTTGTTGAATTTTATTGAAGGCCTTTTCTGCCTCTATTGAGAAAATCATGTGGTTTTTGTCATTGGTTCTGTTTATGTGATGGATTATGTTTATTGATTTGCATATGTTGAACCAGCTTTGCATCCCAGAGATAAAGCCCACTTGATTGTGGTAGATAAGCTCTTTGATGTGCTGCTGAATTTGGCTTGCCAGTATTTTATTGAGGATTTTTGAGTTGATGTTCATCAGGTTTAGTGGCCTGAAATTTTCTTTTTTTGTTGTGTCTCTGCCAGGATTTGGTATCAGGATGATGCTGGCCTCATAAAATGAATTAGGGAGGAGTCCTTCTTTTTCTATTGATTGAAATAGTTTCAGAAGGAATGGTACCAGCTCCTCTTTGTAACTCTGGTAGAATTAGGTTGTGAATTTGGTCCCAGGCTTTTTTTTGGTTGGTAAGCTATTAATTATTGCCTCAATTTCAGAGCCTATTATTGGTGTATTCAGGGATTCAACTTCTTCCTGATTTAGCCTTGGGAAGTCTATGTGTCCAGGAATTTATCCATTTCTTCTAGATTTTCTAGTTTATTTGCGTAGAGATGTTTATAGTATTCTCTGATGGTAGTTTGTGTTTCTGTGGGATCGGTGGTGATCTCCCCTTTATCGTTTTTTATTGTGTCTGATTTTTCTCTCTCTCTTTTTTTTATTTTTTGTTAGTCTGACTAGTGGTCTATCTATTCTGTTAATCTTTTCAAAGAACCAGCTTCTGGATTCATTGATTTTTTTGAAGGGTTTTTTGTGTCTCTGTCTCCTTCAGTTCTGCTCTGATCTTAGTTATTTCTTGTGTTCTGCTAGCTTTTGAATTTTTTTGCTCCAGCCTTTCTACATCTTTTAATTGTGATGTTACGGTGTCCATTTGATGTCTTTCCAGCTTTCTGGTTGTGGGCATTTAGTGCTATAAATTTCCTTCTAAACACTGCTTTAGCTGTGTCCCAGAGATTCTGATACATTGTGTCTTTGTTCTCATTGGATTTAAATAACTTATTTATTTCTGCCTTAGTTTTGTTATTTACCCCAGTAGTCATTCAGGAGCAGGTTGTTCAGTTTCCATGTAGTTGTGCAGTTTTGAGTAAGTTTCTTAATCCTGAGTTTTAATTTGATTACACTGTGGTCTGAGAGACTGTTATGATTTTGGTTCTTTGCATTTGCTGAGGATTGCTTTACTTCCAATTATGTGGTCAATTTTAGAATAAGTACGATGTGGCAGTGAGAAGAATGTATATTCTGTTAATTTGAGGTGCAGAGTTCTGTAGATGTCTACTGGGTCCACTTGGTCCAGAGCTGAGTTCAAGTCCTGAATATCCTTGTTAATTTTCTTTCTTGTTGATCTCTCTAATACTGACAGTGGGGTGTTAACGTCTCCCACTATTATGTGGGAGTCTGAGTCTCTTTGTAGGTCTCTAAGGACTTGCTTTATGAATCTGGGTGCTCCTGTATTGGATGCATATATATTTAGGATAGTTAACTCTTGTTTCGTTGATCCCTTTAACATTATGTAATGCCTTTCTTTGTCTCCTTTGATCTTTGTTGGTTTAAATTCTGTTTTATCGGAGACTAGGATTGCAACCCCTGCTTTTTTTTGCTTTCCATTTGCTTTGTTAATCTTCCTCCACCCCTTTATTTTGAGCCTATGTGTGTAGGCTACGTGCAAAGGCACATGAGATGGGTCTCCTGAATACAGTGTACTGATGGGTCTTGACTCTTCAATTTGTCAGTCTATGTCTTTTAATTGGGGCATTTAGCCCATTTACATTTAAGGTTAGTATTGTTGTATGTGAGTTTGATCCTTTCATTATGAGTCTAGCTGGTTATTTTGCCTGTTAGTTGATGCAGTTTCTTCATAGTGTTGATGGTCTTTACAATTTGGTATGTTTTTGCAGTGGCTGGTACCAGTTTTTCCCTTCCATATTTAGTGCTTCCTTCAGGAGCTCTGTTAAGGCAGGCCTGGTGGTGACAAAACTCTATAAAGGATTTTATTTCTGGATATGAAATTCTGGGTTGAAAATTCTTTTCTTTAAGAATGTTGAATATTGGCCTCCACTCTCTTCTGGCTTGTAGGGTTTCTGCCAAGAGATCTGCTGTTAGTCTGATGGGCTTCCCTTTGTGGGTAACCCAACCTTTCTCTCTGTCTGCCCTTAACATTTTTTCCTTCATTTCAACCTTGGTGAATCTGACGGTTATGTGTGTTGGGGTTGCGCTTCCCTAGGAGTGTCTTTGTGGTGTTCTCCGTATTTCCTCAATTTGAACGTTGGCCTGTCTTGCTAGTTTGGGGAAGTTCTCCTGGATAATACCCTGAAGAGTGTTTTCCAACTTGGTTACATTCTCCCTGTCACTTTCAGGTACACCAATCAAACGTAGGTTTGGTCTTTTCACATAGTCTCATATTTCTTGGAGGATTTGTTGATTCCTTTTCATTTCTTTTTCTCTAATCTTGTCTTCACACTTTATTTCATTAAGTTGTTCTTCAATCTCTGATCTCCTTTTTTCCGCTTGATCAATTCGGCTATTGATACTTGTGTATGCTTCACAAAATTCTTGTGCTGTGTTTTTCAGCTCCATCAGGTCATTTATGTTCTTCTCTAAACTGGTTATTCCAGTTAGCAATTCCTCTAACCTTATTTCAAGGTTCTTAGCTTCCTTGCATTGGGTTAGAACATGCTCCTTTAGCTCAGAGGAGTTTGTTATTACCCATCTTCTGAAGCCTCCTTCTGTCAATTCGTCAAACTCATTCTCCGTCCTGTTTTGTTCCCTTGCTGGCGAGGAGTTGTGATCCTTTGGAGGAGAACAGATGTTCCAGTTTTTGGAATTTTCAGCCTTTTTGCACTGGTTTTTCCTCATCTTCGTCGATTAATTTACTTTTGGTCTTTGACGTTGGTGACCTTCGGATGGCGTTTTTGTGTGGACATCCTTTTCGTTGATGCTGATGCTATTGCTTTCTGTTTGTTAGTTTTCCATCTAACAGTCAGGCCCCTCTGCTGCAGGTCTGCTGGAGTTTGCTGGAGGTCCACTCCAGACACTGTTTGCCTGGGTATCACCAGCGGAGGCTGTCACCAGTGGAGGCTGCAGAACAGCAAAGATTGCTGTCTGTTTCTTCCTTTGGAAGCTTTGTTCCAGAGGGGCCCCCGCCAGATGCCAGCCGGTGCTCTCCTGTGTGAGGTGTCTGTTGATCCCTGCTGGGAGATGTCTCCCAGTCGGGAGGCATGGGGGTCTGTCCCTTAGCAGAGCTTGGGAGAGCCCCTGCTCTCTTCAGAGCTGGCAAGGAGGAACATTTACCTCTGCTGAAGCTGTACCCACAGCTGCCCCTTCCCCCAGGTGCTCTGTTCCAGGGAGATGGGAGTTTTATCTGTAAGCCCCTGACTGGGGCTGCTGCCTTTCTTTCAGAAATGCCCTGCCCAGAGAGGAGGAATCTGCAGAAGCAGTCTGGCTACTGCGGTGGGCTCTGCCCATTTTGAACTTCCTAGTGGCTTTGTTTATACTGTGAGGGCAAAACCGCCTACTCAAGCCTCAGTAATAGTGGATGCCCCTCACCCCCACCAAGCTGGAGCATCCCAGGTTGACTTCAGACTGCTGTGCTGGCAGCAAGAATTTCAAGCCAGTTCATCTTAGCTTGCTGAGTTCCGTGGAGATGGAATCCTCTGCTCTAGACCACTTTTCTCCCTGGCTTCAGCCCCTTCTCCAGGGGAGTGAATGCTTCTATTTTGCTACTGTTCCAGGTGCCACTTGGCACATTTCTTTTAAAGATGCTTGAAGATAAATTCCTAGAAGTTTGTAGATTTATGACCTCCATTTATCCTTCCGGTGAGGAGGATGTCATAACTTTACCTCATAAGGGCATCTTGGCGATGAAGGAACTTAATGAGCGTGCAGACTGTGTGTTGCCCATTGACAGTCTTTATTTGACATCATTAGCAAAATTGACCTCGTAGTGAATTCTGGAAAGTTGGGTACAACCGTAGATACACTTCAAGTGCTGTGGCTTTAAGGAGCGGCATAATAAGCCCTTTGTTGCAGTCAACAACATTGTGGCAAATTTGCTCAACCTAATAAGCTCTGCAAGATTAGAAGGGTCCCTTAATAAGGACTGTAATGAAATCAGCATGAATTTGGTTCCTTTTCCTTAGCTTCATTATCTTGTATCAAGCCTAACACCTCTATGTACGCTGGTGGATGTTAGCATTCCTACTAAAAGATTGGATCAGATGTTTTCAGATGACTTTAGTAAAGATCACCAGCTGCTTCAGGCAGACCCCAAACATAGTCTTTACCTCACCTGCGTGCTCATGGTTAGAGGAAATGTACAGATTTTACATCTTCGCAGAAATATTGAAAGATTAAAATCATCTCTACAATTTGTCTTCTGGAATCAAGAAGGCTAGAAGACCAGCCTGTCCCTCCTATGGGCCATTTTTATTCATTATTAGCTTTAGCAAATAACACACGTGTGAAGCCGACATTCATGGAACTGAAAGAGAGATTCATGAGGCTCTGCAAGAAAAAAGCTCACCTTCATCGCTGTCTACAAGTTGAAGGGATGGAAGAAAACTATTTCACAGAAGCTGTGTTATTTTTATCAGCACTCATATGGGAGTGGCCACAACTGTATGAGTGGACGCCACAAAAAACATAACCTATACAAGATTTACCGAGCCTAAGCATAGCCGTGTAAAAAAGAAACCCTCCAAAATGCTTTCTTAATTTCACATTGTTTTTTTCTCACCTTTCTGTTTCAGCATTTCTTTGAGATTCAGAAAGTCCAGTTTGTTTTTAATGTTAGGAAATATTTTTGTCTAAAAGAGTGATTTCTGTTTAATCACCATTTGTTGATAATACCAATGTGTGAAATTAGTGAAATCGTAGTACCTGAACTTCAGACATTTGTCCTCAGAAAAGTCCCCCTTTCTAAAATTGAGAGAATGGAGTTCTTCCGTATAATGTCATATTTGTAACCTCTTATTTAGGCATTTATGCACTGATAGTCGTGTCTTCGATAAAAATATTGTACAGATATTTATTTATCATTTATATTTTGATATTCTATTTAAATTCTCCTGATTCTGTAAAAATAGGTACTGGGAGTAGAGGAATATAATATAAATATTTCTGTGTAATATCCACTAACTATTCAGGGATAGATTTTATTCCAACTATTAAGGAGGTTTTGTTTCTTCTTTAGATAAGAACTTGTTTGTTCAAAAGAATTCTAATTTGTATACTTAACATGTATTGGTATTACATTTTTTAAATAATTACTTATCAAACCAGTTGATTTTATAATAATAAATGTTTATATTAAAAAACAAAACAGGCCTTTTTTCACTTTATGGCTCCTAGCTTGGATTTTTACCCTGTACAGGGGGAGTTTTCAGAAGCTGTACTTCTCCCCAACAGTGCTTTTATGATCTGAACATGTTATCACCTGTTCGTTTGCACATAACATGGTTCTAAACAGAATGAAAGCAGAAGTTGCGTTCTATGTGGAATAATTTTATAATAAAGAGGAAAGTAGTGTTTAAAAACTGTCATCTTCAGTGGTACGTGTTTGCGTGTGTGCATGCATGTCCATGCACACATATAGATGTATATATGTAGAAGAGTTTGCATACCCAGGATCACTTGCCAGCTCCCTTTGGAGTAACAATATAGCCATGTGCATAAAAAAATACAAAAGAACCATTTTCTACTTGTGTTCAATCAGAAATTAGAAAATATTTTTAGATTTATAGGATGGATTTCTAAAATTTAAAGTGATCTCTTAACTTATCATGGCTGTCACCTTCCTGACTCCTCCACCCCAGAGTATGTGCTGTGTGTTTGTGTGTACATAGGTATCTATTAATAATACTATGTTGGCAGGGATGTTATGACAGGGATAATCTTATTGAACTCTAAATATGTCTGAAGAACTGTAGCTTCCTTCCAAAAAAACTACATTTAAATATTTTCATAAAAGTGAATAGTATGATAATCTCATGTACTTGTCATCTTCATTTTACAACTTTTTGCTAATTTTGAAACTAGCAGTTTGATTCATTTCCTGCTTCTCAGCATAATAGGAAAATAGTCTGCTCTGAAAATGAGAGTTTGCTGTGTTTAGAGTATCACTAAAATAAGACTAGTTAATGTGAAGTTCTGGTAAATGTGTAGTTTAGAGAGCAATAGGTTAGCTTCTTTTTTTAAACTAGCAAACTTGCAGAAAAGTTGTAAGTATAGTCCAGAGAAGTTTTTTCTCAACTATTTGACACTAAGTTGCTGACATGGTTCTCCACCACCAGGGAATTTAGTGTATTTCCTACACACAAGGACATTCTTCTACATAACCACAATACAATGTTAAAATCAGAAAATGAACACTGGAATTATTCCCACTATCTAATCCTCATACCCCATTCAAGTTTCACCGGTTATCCTCAAAACACTCTTTCTAGCAAAAGAACCAGTTTAGGATTGTGTATCACATTTAGTTCTTCTGTTTTATTAGTCTCCTTCAAACTGGAGAAGAATTTCTCAATCTTTTTCACTTTCATGGCCTTGACATTTATGAAGATTATAGGCCATTTGTTTTGTAAAACGTCCCTCAATTTGGGATTGTCTGTTTCCACATTATTAGATTCGGCTTATGTGAATTTGTCAGGAATGTCACAGAAATGATACTGTGGCCATCTCATTGCCTCCTGTCAGGAAGCACGTGATGATTTGTCACATTACTGATGATATTCACTTTGATCTCTTAATTAAGATGAACTCCTCTGGGCTCCCCCATTGTAGACTTATTCTTTTCCCTGTTGTAATTAATACACATTTTATGAAAAGGTACTGAAGTCTCTGAAAATATTTTGTTCCTTATCAGACTTTCAACTTACTGATTTGTTAATTTGTATTAGTATGGATTCCTTGTTTCATTTTATTTAATAGGTTATAATTCATTGCTAACATTATTTGTTTTGTTGCCCAGATTTTCCAAGATTTGACCAATAGGACCTTTTTCAAGCTGATCTTTGTGTCCATTGACATTTCCTCACCATTCTTTGGGTTCTTTCTTACCTTCTGGCACAAGATAGTCCAAGCTTTTCTTGCGTTGAACCAGGCACCTTTTAAGAAAAGCTTTAAGGTCTGAAGTGTGATTTTGGCTTTATATGGTGAAAAATATATATGGCTTCTGTGGAGACATTTCATTCAGCCTAATTTTATGACATTTACAATTTCAGCTAGCATTTATTAAGCATTTCTGAACCAGGAAGTAGGGAGATCTATAATGCATGAGGATAATTAAATATTCTGGTTATCAGATATGAGCCAGATAAATTCATGTAGTATCCATAACAGGATGTGTCTTTTAAGAATAGGATCTATGCTTGAGTTTTCCTAAAAGTTAGGAGGATTATATAAGATATCCTGCCGTTTTAGAAGCTAGAGTTTCTGTTCCTGGAGTATATTCGCTATCTAGTCATTAAGAAGTAAAACATCCCGTGCCTCCGAGGTAGAGGCATATATATGCAATAGAAAATGGATGTGCAATCCTTCTTCTCAAAAGATTGGATATCTAAATGAGTAACCCAAGTGAAATAAGCATGCAGTCCTTTAATATAACTCTGGGATAAGACGTGGAGTGGTATTTTTGCTCTATTTTTACCTTTTACAAACTTCTTAGCTTCTTTAAAACTTACATATTTACCTGTAAAGTGAGAATGACAACTACTTACATGGATCTTACTAAGATTATATTAACTTGCACAGGACTTAGTGTGTAGAAAGTGCTCAGTACACCTAAGTTTCTTTCCATATTATGGATGTGATAAGAGTGAGAAGTTAGTCTAAGATAGTGTGCCTGTAAACTTGAATTTCTCATCTTTTAAAATCATCCTTTATTTCAAAACTCGTGTTTTAAAAAGATAAAATGTGTCTCACAGATTAGTTTGAAAGAATAAGCGAAATAATATGTGAAGAATACTTTATAAATTGCAATTATAATGCTCTTTGCTTTTAATTTGTATTAAGGAAAAATATTTTTATATATTGGGGAAAGTGTTGTAGGAGAGACAGACTTTGAGACTTGATTTAAATTAATCAAGAGAGGCATTAAAAATAGGCAGAAAACGTGAACAGACACTTCTCAAAAGAAGGCAAGTGGCCAAAAAACATGAAGAAATGTTCCACGTTACTAATCATCATAGAAATGCAAATCAAAACCACAATGAAATACCATCTCACACCAGTCAGAATGGCCATTATTAAATAGTCAAAAAGCCACAGATGCTAGCAAGGCTGTGGAGAAAAGGAAACTCTTATGTTGGTGGGAATGTAAATTAGTTCAGCCACTGTGGAAAGTAATTTGGAGATTTCTCAAAGAACTTAAAATAGAACTACTATTCAACCCAGCAATCCTATTACTGAGTATATATCCCCCAAAACCCAAATCTGTCAAAAAGAAACATGCACTTACATGTTCATTGCAGTACTATCCAGAACAGCAAAGACATGGAATCAACCTTAGTACCCACTGACGGTGGATTGGACAAAGAAAATACACGTATACCATAGAATGTTATGCAGCCATAACAAATAATGAAATCATGTCCTTTGCAGCAACATGGATGCAGCTGGAGGCCCTTATCCTAAGCAAATTAATGTGGGAGCAGGAAACCAAATACCACATGTTCTCACTTACCAGTGGGAGCTAAACACTAGATACTCGTGGACATAAAGATGGCAACGATAGAAACTGGGGACTACTAGACAGGGGAGAGATAGAAAGGAGTAAAGGTTGAAAAACTAACTTTTGGGTGACTGGATCATTCATACGCCAAACCTCAGCAACATGCAGTGTACCCAGTCAGCAAACCTACACGTGTACCCCCACAAGCTAAAATGAAAGTTGAAAAAAAAAATTAGGAACACTGAAAATGCTAATTTAAATCTTACACATTGGGTATAGGTTCCATAACTACTTTGTGTAATCATTTGGCCTTCTGTTATGTTTCATGTTTTATAAGGAAATATGGCAATTGAGTATAATCTAAATTATATGTTGGAGCTTAGGAGGTATCACATAATCAGTTTTGAGCCCGTTGCTTCTTTCCGATCTATAAACACTAGCAAAGAAAATGGTTTGTTTTCTTCTTCCACATAGCAATAAAAATAAATAGTAATGCTATAGCAACTGTAGACCATAGTGTTAATGTTAGTATGAGTGTCAGACTTCAGCTTTGCCTGTTTCCTATTGATAAATGGAAATATTAATGGTATTAATAGTATAATTTTGAATATACTACATTTTAGGTTAGAGGCCTAATAGCTAGTCTTAGTTTAGTCTTAAAAATTATTTGTCATTAGCTAATAAAGTATTCAGAGGGAATATACTATTCCTTATATAATAAATCAGATTTCTGATTATTTATAATTTCTGCCTTGTTTTCATAGTATAAAAGATATATGAACCAATGACATATATGGTATATATAGGAATATCACTTTCAACTAGAAGAATTTTTCTGTGGCTAATTCAGTTTGCTTATTCATAGACAAAGTTAGAATTTGGAGATTGTCTTGGAGATTTCTCATTTTACAGGTGGAATGTGAGGAACAGGGAAGTTGTCACTGCATGGTGTAAAATATGGTACATGGTTCAGGAGTTAATAGTCTTAGTATCTATTTTTATTTTGTAATCTG